CACTCAATTAAAACATTAAACCATTAAAGACTGCATAATAGGTTTATTTTGAACTCTTTTAATTTTTCAAGCCCTGAAAATATAGGAGGTGGCATTTTAACTACTGGTATTCTAAAGTATCTTAAAATCTTAAAATTATGATAAGGATACACCAGCACACTATCACAGATCCTCCTACCTTCAGCCCTACAATAGAGGATTGGAATGAACCAGATAATGGACTGTTTGAATTGCGGTTAAGGTGGATCACTGAGGAAGGAGTCCCATGCTGCTGGCTAAAGCAATGAAAATTTATCACAGCCAATCAACCTATCATATGAGCAGGGGTGAGCATGCAAACTCCACACAGAAGGTGCCTCAGGGTGGAATCAAAACCAGGCCAGGGGAGCCGTAAAGTTGCAGCACTAATGTCCACACTACAGCTCCATCCAACTAACAAATTTCTTTGATGGTTGAGTTTTACTAGAGAGGGTGGTCTTGTTTCTGCTCACTGGAAGCCCAGCCCAAAGTACAGGGCCTGCACATTCCAAGTTGACAGGTGGATTCATGCTTTGTTCTGCTTTTGCCCTACTTCACTGTATCTACCTAATCGATTAAAAATTAACTTCAGATTAAAGACCAAACTGCTGTGGATTGCAGTCCCTATAATAATGCAGAAGGATAAAAAGGTCACAGACAAAGAGTGAAATCCTGCAAAAATACATCCCTAATTTTTCTCACGTGGGAACTCTAAAAATAAGCAAGACACCCAGTGGACTTTCTGAGAGGACCGAAGCCTAACAAAATGCCTTCGGTGATCCCAACAGCCAGTTATATTTGTACTATCTGTACTAAGTTTTATTTAAACTTTGTTCAGCTTTATTTTAAAATATCCTGACTGAATCCCTCAGGAGACAGAGACCTCTGCGTGTCCATAAATCATTCTGCTGCCCAGGGAGTTTATGAAGCTAAACATTTAGCCTATATTTGAGAACAGGCCAAGACAAGTTTGTTTCAGGCAATGTGTATTCCCATTGTGAGCTATTAGTTTTAGATCAAGTAAGTAATAAAGATAAGGTCACATCTCAAAACAAAATAATCCTCAGAGCAGACAAATTATTCAGGGAGGCCCAGTTCAATGTCATTTTAATGTGTTTAAAGGCTTGCTAATACGTATTTAACAGGAAAAGCAAAGAGAGAGCTTTCCTTATTCAGGCTGAATCAGTCAGAGAGATCAAGCAGTGGATTTCAGCAGACCATGAAAGACTCCAAATTCCAGGGCTGCCAGGAGATTCCAAAGTAACTTCATTGTTTTCAGAAGCAACAGAACAATTTCCCCTTCAAGCCGCTATTCATGTGTAGAGCAGGAATCGCTGGCAAAGGGTTCTGTGGCTAAGGACAAGGAATAACACAGCCAGACTGGAAAACTCTTCACATTTCCAGAACCTCAGTCTGTGAGCTGTAGAAAAGCACCCAGCTAGACCATTGCACACTCTGAAAAATAGGAACTACTTATGCTGTCTGAAACAAAGCCTGAGTCAGAAGCAATCATTAACCATTGCAACCAAATCAGTTACATGTAGAAAACTGAAATCTCCCAGTAATATGATATCAATTTGCATTCCTTCCTAATCTCATCATGCAGTGAGGTATTTGTGCACATGTCCACATTAGATGGTCTATAATAATAATAAT